GTGAGAGCATAGCATGTTTTCCTAGAGCAAGAATTGGAGGAAAACTTGTTATTTTTATATAAAAAGCAACCCAGACACATGGAGCTAAGTGTTGAATTTTCATGGATTTCGGAGCCAGATCCGCTTCAGACTTCCCAGAGGGGGCGGCAGAGTGTTGGAATGTAAGGAGTTTCCTCTACTCAGGGTGCTCTGGGTCATGGAGGCAACAGCTGCTCCAGCTCGGCTCCACCTCAGGGCTTGGTCCCTTCCTGTTCCTACACTCAGCAGCACCCTGGGGTGAGTTATGTACTTAGGGGCCCAGAGTTGAGGGTCACATCTGCAAGAGCCTCTGAATTGTGGGATGGGAAAGCCCATGTGTTGGTGCTGCCCTCCTGGAGGCCTCTGAGTTGTGGAATGGGAGAGCCCATGTGGGTACTGGCCTCCTGGAGGCCTCCATGCAGGAGGATCCAGTAGCAGGGAGACTTGGCATGGCACGGCAGTTGCAGTGCTGAATAGTCAGGGACTTGGGTGTGGCCATTCTGTCCCTAAGTCCTTGGACTCTGTGGACTGTTTCTTGAGCAGGGGCTAGCCTCCCACTTAGCCTCAGGAACTCTATCTGGATAATGGGTGCAGCTGACCGTACCTACCAACTGTTGGGCAGCTCTATGGGGAGAGTTTGCTTAATCTTGGTTCTCCACCCCCAAAGTGCTAACGATGTCTCCTACTTACACTAAGCACCCCAGTTTGGGAGGGCATACCTCCCCTGGTGCTAAAAAGCCAAACTCAGCCCTTTAGGCATAGGCAAGTACTCAACTACTGACCTAAATGCAAGCTTGGTGAGAAGAGCGGGCACAGTGGGCCCTTCTGCCGCCAGCACAGACGCTCCGCAACTCTGAGCTGGGCTGCAGATCTTTGCTAAACAAGTTTCAACAGCTTCAGGCAGTATCAAACCTGGCGGAAATGCCGCGCTGGGGCTTCCTGGAGGAGCTGAGGCTGCCACACATAACTCTTGTGCAGCACTCCCACTGCTCTAGACTACGCTGTCTCTGAAAGGGAAGGGTGCAAGCCTTGTAGTTCTGGTCACACATTTCCCTGGTCCTGCTCTGTGGAACCTGACTGTTCAAGACCCGAAGCCCCTAATGTTCACAGAGACCATGAGTCAGTGACTGTCAGTGACTGGTGGGTTCGCAGATCCTGGCCCAAGACCTCAGGCTGCTTTCAGAGAGGATGCCAGACAGACTGGATATGTAGCATCCTTTCTGTCTCTCCCTGGGCCAGGAGACACATGATGGCCTTCCTCCATTTACATTACCCTCCAGGCCCGCAGTAGGCAATGTAAAGCTCCCTATGACCTCACTGCCAACAGGAGCCTCCTGGAGAAAGCTAGGGAAGCAGACGTTGGTGGCATCAGCATCTACTGGGTCCCCACCTTGGTCATTCCATTCAGCTTCCACCTCCCCTTCTCTGGGATTAGGCGGATGGGGATGGGTGGAGGGCTAAGTCCTGCATCTGCTAGGATTTAAGGCTGCTTGACCTCAGGGAGGGAATTCAAGCTCTCAAAGCCAAAGTGTCACTTCCAAAGTGGTGAGAAATAGAAATGATGTCCCAGGAAGGCCCTTAGCAAAAGGCCGGCCTCAGAGGTGTATTTACAAACCTTATGCATGTGGCCCCCTACCCCTGGGCTAGCTAACTACTTTGTGCTCTGAGACAAGCCTTTTGCTTTCTCTGGACTTCACTTTCCTCCTCAGGTAGTATCCCTTGAAAGGTACACATACCTGTAACCCAGGCTCTTAGGCTGAGGCAGGAGGATCACAAGTTCAAAGGCAGCCAAGGCAACTTAATGAAATCCTGACTCAAGATGGTAATATTACATATTTTAAGGGTCTGGGGATGTAGCTCGGTGGTAAGATTGTTAGTCTAGCATGTGTAGGCCCTGAGTTCAAGCCCTAACACTAAAAAAGAAACTACTTCCTGCTTCAAAAGCAGATTTCTTATACCCAGAGTTTGTCACACTGTCTTACTGTACTGACAGCTCCCACTTCAAGAAATCCCCTCTCCATCCAAACCGTGATAGCCCTTGGTGCCAGATAGGTACAACCAATCCAGGAAGGGCTCTGGAGGGCATTCCCTCCACACACTGCCTGGCAGCACCTTGTCCCCACACTGGCAGATGGTCAGAGTTCCATTGGCACCTTGACATGCTTAGAGCCGTATTCAGAGGAATCACTGGGCCTGCAGCACCACCCAGGGGTTTCCACACAACTGCAGTGTGGACTGTGTTCTATGCTACCCCTAGTGGTAGCTCAGGGTAGTGCGCTCTCCCTCAAAATCCAGAGCTATCTAATAAACTACCCCACGGAGACCCCTGCCTTTGGGTCTCTTCCTTCTGCCTGGAGCCCATTACTGACCGGTCATCTTTGTCCCTTCTTCCCCTCTGCCATCTATGCTATAGCTCTTGGCAGTGAGTCACCTCCATTCAGCTCAGTCCCACCTCCCTGCCTGTATGCTTTCTCAGAGCAACGATGCAGAGATCATAGAACATACTTATCCATGGGACAGGAAAAGGCCTCGGTTGTCCCCCCCTTTACTGTCTATACAGCAGTCCTGGGTCCAGAAATAAAGCTTCCTGGGGGAAGCCACGGCTGGTTTGTTCTTTGAGTCCACCAACAGCTGAGAGTCTCCAGTGGCCAGCTCATACAAAGCAGCCTCTGCCTTTGCGGGTGTGGCTAGCAGTGGAGAGATAAAGGCCCCGAGAAAGGACACCGTGCAAACACACTGTGTCCATAAAGACCTCACCACTTTCCAAGCCCTGCTTCCTGTTACTGGCTCTCTTGAACAAAATGGTTTAAAGAAAGACCCACATGCCTTCAAGTCCAAAGAAAAACATTGACGGCAGCAGAAGGCAGTAGGGCCGTAATTGTGATGTCCTAAAATGCTGTGTGGCCATGCATTCCATTTATGGTGAAGACAGTCTGGCTATAAATATAAAATCCTGTCAATCAAAAGAACACTGGCGTCCAGAACCTATAGCAGATTTCCTCCAACCCATTCACAGGTTACCAGGTGATCCTTGGGGACCCACTGCCGTCTGGTCCATCTCACAACAGCTGTCCTCAAGCCCTTTCCAAGTCAGCATAGCAAAGCCAGCTGAACCTCAGGGACTCAGGGCACTGTAGCCCAAACTAGTCCCAAGTGGCTGCAACCTCTGCCCCAAAGCTTCTTGCTAGAGGCCTCCCTTCCCCTTCCAGTGGCCCTGAAGGCTTCCATGTGTTTAGCTAGATATATGAGGAACTTGTCAAGCTGCTGGTCACCTGTGGGCCTCCAGCTATACACACAGAAATGCATGTACAAATATCCAGGCTGCTCTGGCAGCCTCACCTCTGGGGCTGGTGCCTGGCATATGCTCATATTACTCAAAGCTGGTAGGGATTTTTTTCTCAGTAGCACCCTACTCCTTATCATCTCCTCCACCTGGTGTAACCGCCCCGCTGTCTGCCTTTACTCACGGGGCCTCCTGTACAGAGTGACATTTGGCACAATGGGGGAAAGGGGAAGAAATGGCCAAACCAACTGAGCTAAAGCATGAATTGCCCATGCGTGCTCTGAGGTGTCTGCTGTCACTGCGCTGACTCAGGGTGAGTACCTTCCCCTCTCTGGTCTTAGCATCTTGGCCTGGGAGGTGTTAGGGTTTGATTACTCTGGGCTTTGAATATTAGTGTCATAACTTTCATAGGGGACAGGACCTCACAAATTTGGGGATGTTGGTCAAGAGTCTCAGTCGAGCACTGTAACAAGAGAGGAGCGGGCATGGGTGTCATCAGCTCTGGGCCCTAAGTAGTGCTCAAGGACAAGGTGGGGTCTAGGAGAGAGAGAGAGAGAGAGAGGGAGGGAGGGAGGGAGGGAGGGAGGGAGGGAGGGAGGGAGGGAGGGAGGGAGAGAGAGAGCGTGTGTGTGTGTGTGTGGTAAGATGGTTATCACAGCTCAGACCACCTAGTCCTGCAGTGTTCCCTTCAGTCACCCTCCTGCTCCCCAGATCTGTGGGTATCAGATGCTGTAGGCCCCACATTCACAGTTGGCAGCCAGGGTTTGGCCTGAGTCATACTGGGTTTTGGGGGGCCAGGTCCAGCCCAAGTAGCAAGTGGAAGACATAGATGAGTACTGAAAATGTGCTCAGCAGAGTCTACCACCTCCAAGGTCTCCGTGGGCTTATCACTCAGGTGAGGTCAGGGCCTGGGGTGATGGACAAAAGTCAGCAGCCTTGGATTCATTTTAGCCCAAGTCTTTTCTTCAGTGTGGAAACTGTGGCACGGAGGGTCCTGGAGATGAGGTGGCAAAGGACTCATCCAAGGCCACTCAGCGAATCAGTAATAATGTCTGCCACCCCAGGCCCTGTTCCAGGCACAGTGTAGTCACTGGGAATCACTCTCACACAGTGGCTACTATCCTGTACATATCTGGCTAGGTCTTGGCCATCCATGGGGATGAGATCTCTGCTGGAGTTCTCCCCTAAATTGCTGGGAGCAGCTACAAGGCCAGCGAAGAACATCTGGAATGTTGGCCACCAAGAGCCTGATGGCTCTTCCCTGGCACAGCTGGAGTGACATGGCCCGCTGCTCCCGTCAGAGATGGATGCTCAGAGAGCAGCAGTGTGGGTCCAACCACAGGGTGAAGTGGGCACGTGCCTCTCATGTAGATTATTCTGGGTTCCCAGGCTGGTCAGACAGACCTAAGACCAGAGTAACCAGGGCTGGCATGGTACAGGTCTTCCCCAGGGTGCAGAGACTCACAAAGTCTCCACATGCACACAGCAGCACAACAGAGAAGCCTCTGTCTCCAGAACCTTGCCTGCCTCTCCTAAAGAGGACAGGGGTTCTGTTTGCTACTTGCCTGAACAGTCAGACCTTTCTCCTGTGGGGCAAGTGCGCCCCTTCCTCCCAGACCTTGCATTACAGTACCCGCGACATTAGCATACAAGAACATTAGCCATCCATTCATCTTACTGAGCTCCAGGCAAGTGAGAATAAAATTATTATTTTTTATTTCCCAAAAAAAGTAGAGGTGGGGAAACAATGTGATAGAAATTATGGTCAGCTCCTTCTGGGTTCTCTGCCTCTGTAAGAACAAGCAGTTGGTCTCTCTTGGCTGGGGTCCTGGAGGGCTTCCCCAGAGCAGGCTGAGCCTCTTTCTCCAGTTTAAATATTGGTTAGTCCATTAGCTCTCAGGAAGACACAGCTTGGGTCCCTTCCTGACACAGCTGGCACCCCCTCCCACCCGCCCTCGCATTTCCCTCATGCCCTCAGCCTCCCCTGACCGCCCCTTCCCTCCATACTCTTGCTTGATCCTCTCTGATCACGCCAACAGCCCTCCTGAGACACCCCACCCCACCCCGTTTCTCCTGCCCGAGAGCAGCAGCCTCAAGCCACAGCTTATACAGATGAAGCCAACTTTACCTGGAGGGCCTTAGGGGAGCCTAGCAAGGAGCATCTGGTAAAGGTAGATTGTCCTAAAGCCCAGCCCTCTGTTACCCTCCTATCAAAAGCATTCTGGAGGAAATGTTAATACAACAACACCTAAAACCAACAAAATTGTAAAAATAGGAAAGAACTAGTGAGAGGCCATGCTGGCCACCCTACCCTGGGGAGCAGCTCAAGGGCTCCTGCAACGTCCACATTTGCTGGACCAGGCATCAGGGACTGGCCAGAGGATTTGAAAACGGTCTAACCACCCTAGGATCTTGGGGTTATGAACTAAGAAGCATCTGGCTGGAGTGAGAGATAGGTTATGGCTCTAGGCTGGCCAGTCCCTTGTTCAACCTGGCCACTGCCTCTGCTGAGCCCACACAAGGGACATTCCCTTTGGTCTCTGGAGTTGGGTAGATAGTAAAATAGAACCTTTGCAACGCTGGGGCCTGGAGCTGTGATGGTGGGCGTGGGGGGACTTTTCCTTGGGTCTCAAGGTCTAAGGTGGCCCTGGGCAGCTGGAGGGAGGCCCTATGTACCAATCCCAGCCATGGGAAGGACACTCAGAACACACAGCATGTCTTCATCCAAAGAACCAGACCATAGGCAGGCAGGGAGTATAGAGCCAAGTCCTAGACCCTGCTCCACAGACCCCCAGTGTGTCTGTGGGACAGAAGGGAGTGCAGACTAAGGTCTGGTGGCTAGGCTGCGGGGAGCAGAGTCTTATACCATACCAGGGATCTTTAGATGCAGAAGTTAAGAGGCAGAGATGCAGTCACCTCTCTCCTGCCCTTTGGGAGAAGGGCCTGGGAGGCAGAGGCAGAGGGGACATGGTTAGGGCTGACAAAGGGGGAGCCCATGGGGATAGGATGGGGTGGGGGAAAGAGCAAAGGATGGAAGACGAGCATGGGGAATGTGAGCCAGCGGTCACTTCAGTCTCATGAGAATCCTTCAAAACAAAAGCCCTCCCCTCCCTCTGGCCGTTACCCCAACTGTGCCCCTTCCCCGAGGGTGCCCTGAGGACTGCTGTGTCACTTATGGAGGTAGGCATCCAGCCACAGCTCCCCAGACTTCTTCAGGGAACTGCAAAGAGAGAGAGGACCAGGGTTCAGGAACCAGGATAGAAAGGAACCAAGGCTTCTAGACTGGGACATGTAGAAGCCATGCTGCTCATTCAGCTACTGACCAGGGCTTGCCACTTACCACAGGGGCTGTGGGTTACTGACTAATGCTCCCCAGGGAAGCCCCTGGGCAAGGAGAGAGGGGAGGTCCTCTTCCAGCCCTGGGTGGACCAGAGGTCAGTAGTCCCCACTGTGAGCTAGATTCTTTATTGTAAGGACAGCCATGTGCCTCTCACCTCAGCCCCACTGAATCTCTGGCTCCTTCCGGGGCCTCAGAGCCCCAAGCCCACCCCTCACCTCACAATGTCCAGCAGGGCCCTCAGCAGTGGCTTCTCCTGGTACTCGATGCCGTGCTTGGCGCAGAGAGACTTCACTAGCGGAGCGATCTTGTGCAAGTTGTGCCGTGGCATGGTGGGGAAGAGGCTGAGGCGGCGGGAGGGCAGGGTGAGTGCAATACAGGACCCGTGCTCTCCACCTCTCCCTACAGCCCAGGGAGGCTGAGGCCCTATCTGCAACCTGGAGAAGACTATGGAGCTCCTACCAACTGTCTACAGGGGCTACTAGTGATGTGTAGAGGGGCAATTTATGAGCAGGGACCCTGCAGAAAGCCATATTGGTATTGCATAGCCAGAGACAAGGGTCTTGTGTTTTTTAAGAAAGAGAAAGAAACAAATGAGTGTTAAGTCTCATGCCTGTGGTCTCATCATTTGAGTACAAGGCAGAAGAAGACCTGTAAATTCAACCCCCAGCTTTTAAAAAGAAGGAAACGAAAGAAACAGATGGGGGGTGAGTTGAGAAGAATAATAAAAGATGAGACAAAGGCAGATGCCCTGGGGACAGTCCTTTAGCCACCCATGACCACACAGGCTATCTAGCAGGTCCTCAGGTTCCTAGTCAGTTAACCTGGAATGAGTTTCTCAGCACTGGGAGCACTATAGGACTATGAGATGGTCTTGCAAGCTTTTTCTATCTGCAAAGTGACCACACATGAAGGAGTGCAGTCCCCAGGATGGCCATGTGGCACAGGGCCTGGATAACAATGCCTCGGGACACGCTGATCCCAGAACCCCTCTCCTGCCCAACTGTGTTCTCAGATGGGGTAGTGACCTTGCCAACAAGAGAAGGTAAACCTGCATGGCACCCTTGGCCTGGGGGCTAGTGACCACTGCATCCCCATTCCTCATCTACCCTCTCCCCCAGACTTGCTGGGCCACACTCACTGGTGCTCGATCTGGAAGTTGAGGTGCCCACTGAACCAGTCATTGAAGAAGGACTGCTCCACATTGCAGGTGGCTGCCAGCTGCAGAGGGGACAGGGAATAAGTGGCTGGGGGAAAGAAGGAAACCACAGGACCCAGACTTACCTCATAAAGGTCACCTTACCCAGGGTCTCGGAGCCACCTCTCTAAGTCACACTGTTATCTGGAAGCTTCAGCCTACCCAGATTCCCCAAGGATCCTCTGGAAGATTCCTACCATTCCCTCCCTATCATCTTGTGTGTTGTTTTTTAACTCAGCCTTGCCTTGGACTCCTAATCCTTCTGTCTCCACTTCCCAAGTACTAAGATTATCGGCATGGGCCACCACACTGGGTTTATTGGGTACCAGAGATCAAACCCAGGACTGTATGCGTGCTGGACAAGACAACTGAGCTACATCTCTAATCTTCCTACCACCCTTTCTTGCTTAACTCTGAGGCTGCCAACAGGTTACAAGCAGTCCTAAGGAAGCCCAGCATAGCCCTGGATCCCATGGGGCAGCCAAATCTGGGTGAAGGCATGGATGGGGGGGGAGTCCGGGCTTTGCAGGGCCCCTGTGATTGCCTTTGCTTTCCCTCACCTGGCTGCTGAACCAGTCCCGGTAGTGCTCAAGATCAATCTCCATGACGATGTGGTTCATCTGTGTGACCCACACAAACCAGTGGCTCTCCAGGAACCTAGAAGACGGTGCAGCTCAGTGCTGAAGCCTCAGGGTGGGGGACAGGCAGTCACACAGAAACAGACCCACTGTAACTACCCTACCCCCATGGCAGATACAGGGTTCACATCACAGCCCCATCAAAGTCGGTGCTCTCAAACGCACAGGGTGAGCCAGCAAAGCTGGGGTACCTGATGAAGTTGAGAAAAACCAGTGCTCCCAGGATGCCATAGAAAGGGATGTAGGTGTAGAAGAAACGCACATAGTAGCTGATGGCCCAGGCCAAGTCCTGTAGGGGAAACAAGATTAGACTTAAGCTGCCCCACCCTACTTGGCATGGTGCCTAACCACAGAGGCGTGTATACACACAGATCACTCTGCTTGGCACAGGTGTTCAGAAGAAACCACAGCAGGCCGCTAGGAAGTTGGGACATAGGGCCATACAAGGTCAGACCTTGCCTAAACCACCTGCTTGCATGGGGTTTGCACTGGTGAGTTTCAGGAAGGAAATGGGGTATTGGTTAGGAGGTAGCCAGTAGGTCCAGATGGTTGTAACGTGAGCCCCCGACGTGGGGCCAGGTCTCTGTCCATCATCAGCCTTGCCCCTGCTCAGGCACCTGGATTTCCTTCCTTCCTTAGGAGGGAAAGGGTAGGAGACAGGCCACCCCTCCCTGCAGCCCGGACCCAGGTCACTTCTCAGGTTGGATTCTCTTCTTGGGACATCTCCCCTCATCACTTTGTCTGCCCCTCCTCGGGATGGGTAGCAAGGTCCTAAGTTTGGATATCTCTCCTGGGAAGCCTCTGCCCTCTGTCACAGGCTCACAAGCAGTCATTCTGCAGAGAAATCTCGTCTCTCCACTTCCTCCGCCACTCAAGCCACGTGTTTTGGCTGAACCACAGCAAGAGCCTCCCTTTGTCCTCCTGCTGACGGTCCTCATGCATCCAGGGCAACCAATGACTTGTGCTCCCAGCAGATCCAACTCTGCTACAAGACATTCCCCCTCCCCCGTAATCCAAGAGCTCCTTTGCCTCAGCACCCTGACACGGTTCCCTCAGGACCTTTGCACAAACTGTTTGCCGTCAGGAATGCTCATGCCCAGCCTTTGGTTATCAGAAGGTTATTTCATCAAGGACCAGCCATTCTGAGGCAGTGGGAAAACCCCAAAGAGAGGCTGGAGAGGTGGTCCATTGGATAAGAGCGCTGGCTACTCTTCCAGAGGACACAGGTTCAATTCCCAGAACCCATACAAAGGCTCACAGGCATCCGTTGTAACCCTAGCTCCAGATGACCTGATGTCCTCTTCTGGCCTCTGTGGGTACTAGGCAGTGCACAGATACACATGCAGAGATCTTGAAATGACAGCAGAATCTGGCACATTGGTGTCTGTTCAGGCACAAAACGGAGAACAAATCCAGGACCACATTGATGACAAAGACATGGCGGATTCCGGAATGATTTAGAGAACAAGGGTGGCCCTAGACAGCACTCTCTTGGTTGCAAGGAATTGAGGCCGGTCCTTAGCGCCATTCCAGGTTGTCAGAGTGCTGTCTGCTAAGTAGGAAAGGGGATGGGCAGCTCAGGGCAGAGAAAGAACAGATGCATCAACTAGGAGTGACTAAGACGCTCAGATCTGGCAGGAGGTCAAGAGGAGCAGGCACAGCTAGCTCTGATCATATCTTGATCATCCTTTCATTTTTTTTTTCTGGCTGAGTTTGAACTCAGGGTCTCATACATATTAGGCAAGCACTCTGCCACTGAGCCAATCCCCAGCCCCAAGTTAATCTATTGCATAAATGGAGAGTATAAGTATGTATGTATGTGTATGTGTGTGCACATGCATAGGATGTGGTATATGCGTGTATACGCGCGCAAGCACACACACACAGAGTGAGAGAGAGAGAGAGAGAGAGAGAGAGAGAGAGAGAGAGAGAGAGAGAGAGAGAGAGAGAGGTACATTTAAGCATGGCTTGGGAAATAGAGGCAGGAAGATTGTGAGTTCAAGGCTAGTTTGGGCAATATAGTAAGGTCCTATTTCAAAATTAAGCAAGTAAATAAATAAGTGTATGGAGAGCCCGAGAGGTGAAGGCTGGGAGTAGCCATGGATAATCAGTCCCGGGAAAGTGGGGTCTGAAAAGTGTCCCGGGCAGTACTGCGGGTGCCCATGCTGCATCGTGAGCAGTCTTTCTGACTCTTGGGGCTTCCCATCTCCATCCTCAAGGCTAGGGTCTCCCAGCTCTCACTGCATGTGCCACTGCAGGATGTACAAGATGATTCTTCACCATGGGGCTTCTGTGCTTTGTGGGCTGTTTACCACCCCTCTTGGATAGATGCTGGGCTAGCATCATCTTCCCACTGCTAAATCTGATCATCGTAAATGTCTCCAGCTACTGACAATGGCCCAGTGGAACTGGCTAGGACCTGGTGACAGCTGCTCTGGATGCAAGGCCTACTACGGTTCTGTCATATTGCCCCCACCTATGAGGGACAGGCCTTCCTTGATTTCCCTCCCTGCTCCTCCTAGCTAGTGCTTTATTCTTTGTGGAACAAACAACACACACAAAAAAAATAGATCTAGGGATATAGAGATGGCTCATTTTCTCACAACTGAGGGCTTGAGTTTGATCCCCCAGAATCCCCTGCATGAATGGTGATGTGTGTTATAATCCCAGCATTGAGGAGACAGGATCAGGAAGACTGCTGGGATTCTCTAGCAGCCAGTCTAGCCTACTTAGTGAGCTCCAGGCCAATGGGAGACCCTGTCTCAAAGGATGGTGTTCCTATGGATGATACCCAAGGTTGTCATCTGGCCATCACAAGCACCGGCACATAGTAACTGCAATGCTTATGACAGCCCAACACATAGTAGCTGTACATGTATGTACATATGCATAGGATATGAGACACATGCGCACACACACACAGAGTGGGGGGAGCAGAAGCTCTAAGATGCCCCACAGATATGAGGTGCTGTTGTGAGAAAGAGAGAGGTGGTTTGGTGTGGGGAGGGGTCAAGGATGTGGCATCTGGGGTTCACTGTAACCCTTGGTGTCATACTGGGCAAGGCCCAAACTTTCAGTCTCAGTAATTTTACTCTCACTGTGAAACTTTGTAGTTCTTCTCATTGATGATATGTTTTTTTGTTTGCTTGTTTTTGTTTTGTTGTTGTTGTTTGTTTTGTTTTGAGAAAGTCTTATCTTGTAACCCTGACAGGTCTGGCACTCATTATTAGACCAGGCTGGCTTTAAACTCACAGTGATCTGTCTGCCTCTTCCTCCCAAAGTGCTAGGATTAAAGGCATGTGCGACCACATCCAGCTAAGAACACCCACTTTTCTGCTCTCTCCTGAGGGCAGGGACCATGTTTCCATTACAGCTAACTCTTTGCTGTGGTGACTACTCCCTAGAGCTTACAACGCCATGGTAGGTACTCCTACAAAAATCACAACTGTATTTCTACGTAAACCCAAGCTTGCCACCGCAAACACAGCCTGCCTCCCTCCCTGCAGGTACCTCCAAGCCTGTTGTTTTTGGGCAGCAATGTGTCCTCTGTGATGGCTAATCTTGGTTGTCAACTTGGCTACATCTAGAATCAACTAAAAGAATCACAGAAGAAGGAAGCTTTTGCTTTTCGAGACAGGGTTTCCCTGTGTAGCTTTGGAGGCTGTTCTGGAACTCGCTCTTGTAGACTAGGCTGGCCTTTAACTCACAGAGATCCGCCTGCCTCTGCCTCCCGAGAGCTGGGATTAAAGGCGTGCGCCACCAGCGCCCGGCTTGCCCCCACTCTTGCTGGCAAGCCCACCTGTCCTTTTGCTGGAGCATTCCTTCACCAATGACAGAATCGACTCTTTAGGAAGCCTCTCTGGGACTCTAGCGCCAAACTGGGACCGCTGAGACATCCAGTCTCGTGGGCTGAACAACTACCATAATCTTGGCTTTTCTGTCAGGATACAGCCATTGTACTACTCCAACCACTGCCTATAAGCCACTCTGGTAGTCTGTGTGTGTGTTCATTTTATCAGTTCTGGTTTTTTTTTTTTTTTTTTTGAAAACTCCAACACTCTTCCAAACTCATATACTGACATTCTGGCCCCAGCACCTCAAAAGACAATGTCCTTGGCCATTGCTAATGCTTTGCTAATAGAACTCAAGAAGACAAGATCATTCCAATGGGTCCTAATGCAATAGAACTAGTGTCATCCTATAAGAAAGGAACAAGGCTAGTGGTAGCTCATTTGGTAAAGTGCTTGCAATTCTAATGCCCAAAGCCTACAGACAAAAGCTGGGCACCATGGCATGCACTTGTAATCCTGGTGCTGGGGAGGTAGAGTATATATATATAGATATAGATATATAGCAGATTCTGGGGCTTTCTGGACAGTCTAACCTAATCTGTAAGCTCCAGGGAAGTGAGAGCCCCTGCCTCAAATGAAGTGACACACCTGAGGTTTCTGTGGTGGTTTGAATGAGAATATCCCTGCAGAGGCTCATATATTTGAATGCTTGGTTCCTAGTTGGTGGAACTGTTTGGGAAGTATTAGGAGGTGTGGCATTGTTGAAGGAGGTGTGTCACTGGGGATAGGTTTTGAGGCTTCAAAAGTTCACATCATGCCCAATTAGCACTCTACCTCATAGCTATGTTTCAAGGTATGAGCTCTTAGCTACTGTTCCAGTGCCATGCCTGCCTGCTGCCATACTCCCTGCCATGGTGGTCACGGACTCTCACCCTCTGAAACTGTAATTCCCCAATAAACTTTTCCTTTTATAAGTCACCTTGGGCATGGTGTCTTGTCATAGCAACAGAAAAGTAACTAAGGCAGTTGTCATTTGACCTCTACATGCAGACGCATGCAAGGACAGACACAAATACACATTCGAAAAATAGGGGAACACCTGATCACAGATACAGACAGGCCTAGAAGGAAGATGATATACAAACAAATCTTCCAGTCAAGAAGAGGGGCCTGGACCCTCCCACCCCCACTCCCCAGGCTGCTGTCAACTGATTTTAGACTTCTGGCCTCCAGGGAGTAAGAAAACGTGCTTCTGTTGCCGAGGCCATCCACTTCCTGTGGGCTGTGTTAGCCTCTCGCCACATTGCCTATGAGAACTTCCTAAGGGACTCAGTGAGGGCAATGACTGTCAGGTGGACTCCTGTGTGTATGCACTGGAGGTGTCTCTAGGGCGGATATGCTTTGGCCTTCTTGACCTCCTTGGCTCATGACTTTCTTGGCTCTGGTGGCCTCAAAGACAATCTCTTCCTAAGAGTGACAAAGCAGCTATGCTTTGGGAGAGATGTCTGAGGATTTACAGGCCCCCAGAGGTACCAGGGGCAAAGTGTTGTGGTCACACCCACCACCAGCAGCACCATTGACTTACCACCCAGTCCCTGCGCCTGATCATGGTCATGATGATCTGGTACTGGAAATACATAGGGATGAGCAGTGGTGGTCCGACTGTAGAGAGAACAGACGGCCTGTCAGAGGGGAAGGGGCCAGCTCGACACCACCCGCAGGGCAGCTCAACAGTCAGGTGCCTGGGGGTCTAGATGAAGGTGACAGGGCCAGAAGTGTTTGCACAAGCTGGCTGCTGGCACCCTTGTCGATTTGCCAGTTTGAAAAGGGTATGGGAGGAAATGGGACAGGTGAGGACTTGGGGCTGGGGGCCTCTGGCCCTCGCACTCACTCAGGAAGAAGTATTCATGCTGGTGGTTGTAGGGTAGGTATTTCAGCTTCTTCTTGCCGTACTGAGGGGATAAGAGACAGGAGAGAGGGTGAACAAGAGCCTCCGTACCCCCACTTTATTCACCACCCTCCCCAGCAGAGGCCTTGTCTCTTTTCCACCTATCTGAATCTGGGTCCAACAAGGCCAGCAGCTGCCAGTTTCCTTGGGCCTGGCGTCGCATGCCACTGTTTTTACTGGAGTTAGGGTCAGATCTGGTGAGTTAGGCTCAGTCACCTGTCCGCAATGGACCAATTAAAGAAATGTGTTAATGGAAAAAACAGAGAAGGGAAATTTAGTCAGTGTGGTCACATTGTGAAGAAAAAATGAAGAGGTCCAGGCAACCACACTACACCATACCCCTATCCATCACTGGGATCCTAAAATTAGGTTTTGATAAGCCAAAAGCAAGAGCAATATACAACTAAGAGGGTCTGGTCAACGTGGGGCCACAACCATTACTGAGGCATCTTTGTCTCTGTTCCAGTCTTTCCTGCAAGGAGGTCTGACAGGTTCTCAGAACTGTGTGAGCTCTCTCTGGGAGATAAGCTCTTCCCCAGCTGGCACCAGGCTTCAGCTTTTTCCTTCTCCCAGCATGCAATCCCTGGGTAATTTCCAATTTCTTAGGGTCTATTGTTCAATAGTCTGAGAGCCAAAGGGAGTGGGCATAAACTTCTCTTTAGAATACCTTCATTCCTGCTAGAACTGTGAGGCCCAAATCCCAGGCCAATCTGCAGGTTGGTGGCTGAAGTTCAGGCTCAGAGTCAGTCACTGTCCCAGGTCATGAGAAGGAGGCCTGCTGTTTGTCTTTTTTTTTCCCCTATAGTTTTGTTGGGAGTGTTGGGGATGGACTCCAGGGCTTGATCCATGTTAACCAAGTCCTCTGCCACTAAGCTATACTCCTAGCCCTTAGGCCAACTTGGAGATGAACAATAAAAAGGCTTACATAAGCCTAGGTACCCCACAGGGAGCTTCTGGGACTGTCTACCCTTTTGGGAATGACAGAGGCTTCCAGGTCTCAAAGGGGGCATTCCTTGGAGACTATTAACAGTTAAGGGAAGTCAAACAAAGCCCAGGAATCCTTAACAGTCATCATCCTGGGAACATCTATTCTTGAAATCTTGTAGTCATTTCCAAAGACTAATCTCTTTCCCCAGAGGCTCTTGATACACGAGGAAGCCAGTTAGACAGAAGAGGCTCTGCAGGACTGAGAGATGGTCTGCCTGTTAAGAGCACCTGTTCTTTTAGAGGACCCAGGCCTGGTTCCCAGCACCAACCATCTATAACTCCAGTTCCAGGGGTCTAGGGGCACCACACACTCAGGTGGTGCACAAACACATGAACAGACAGAACAGTTATATATGTAAAACATGCATGAAGTAAAATAGAGGCAACAGCAGACGCCCTTTAATTCCAGGGCCTGACCCCTAGGGGGCAGTCCACCCTGCACTGCCGTGGATCACAGAGCACCTGCTCATTTTACTTGCAGTGCTGGACTGGGCTGGGGGTGGGGTGGGGTGGGGTGGGGAGGAGTGTAAGCCTGTGCTTGGAGCAGATAACAAACTTATTAGATGCTACTTCTTGCCAACAGCAGGTCCCTAGGCCTCTCTGCGCATGTTTGCCTTCCAAGTTATTGTTTTTCTTTTTCTTTTGCTTTTTTTTTGTTTTGTTTTGTTTTTTTTGAGACAGGGTTTCTCTATGTAGCTTTGGAGGCTGTCCTGGCGCTCACTTTGTAGACCAGGCTGGCCTCGAGCTTACAGAGATCCGCCTGCCACTGTCTCCCGAAAGCGTGCGCCACCAATGCCCGGTCAAGTCCTTGTTAAATGTTGCCAATGGGAACTTTGATGTAAAGACACACGGACTCCAAGACAATGCCATCCTTCCCTCTCCAGACCCAAAATTTAAGTCACCCTCCTTGAACACTTTTGGGGGTCAGGAGAGCAAAATAAGTTACAGATGGAAGAAAACTTGGGTGTCTCCTAGGCTGACACTCCTGTCCTCCAAGTGAGAATACAGAGTGGGAAGTGTGTGTCAAAATCACAGAGGCCCATGGGCTCCCACAAGGAAGGGGTGTGGGTGGGAACAAAGTCCAGCTTGTCCCCAGAACATGTATCTTGGTGCCAGTGGCCATGGTCACATGCCTGCTGAAGGACAACCAGAAATGATCCCTTTGTTCCCTGCAGCTTCCTGTGTCTTGGCAAGGACCCCATGCATTCCCAGAAAGTATGTCATGTACATGCAGTCTGTCATTAGAGCCAGGCCTGAGGTTGGCCTTGGAGAGGTCAGAGCGAGGGAGCCTCAGAGGGGCCTTTGATAGTTTCCCAGTAAAGGGAGGGGATGTGAAAGCTAGGCACAGAGGGAAGGAAGACACCCCCCAAGGTGCGGGGGGGGGCAGCAGCTAGGGAAATGTGAGGACAGGCCCTGGGTCCGGAGCCAGGGGACCGGCACCCAGGCCTAGACTCTGAATGCAGGCTTCCCAGCCCTGGCTGCCTGCCTTTGTCTGTTCCTTCTTGAGACTGGCTAGTTTTATGTCAGTGACACAAAGCCACTGGAGAGGAGGGAGCCTCAACCAAAAAAAAAATGCCTCAGTAAGATCAAATTATAAACAGGCCAGCAGGGCATTTTCTTAATTAGTGATTGATGCCGACTGTGGGTGGGGCCCCCTGGGCAAGTGGTTCTGGGTTCTATAAGAAAGCAGGCTGAACAAGCCATGGGGAGTAAGCCAGGAAGCAGCGCTCCTCTATGGCCTCTGCATCAGCTCCTGCCTCCAGGTTCCTGCCCCCACTTAAGTTCCTGTCCTGACTTCCTTCAGTGATGAACTATGATGTGGAAGTGTCAGCCAGTTTGCTTTGGTCATGATGTTTGATCATAGCAACAGTAACTCTGAGACAGAGACTGGACATCAATGACAATCTTCAGGTCAGCAGAGGCCAGGAGGTCCTTTAGAGGACGGTGGGAGAGGGTCACTACGGGGGACCATTTGAAGGTCAAGTAGCAAGATTGTTTCCACTGGTTTATGGTCACTGTGGGGATAACTGTCACTGTTGGGCTGTCTCCAGCTGGTAAGCATTGTTGGCTCATACATGCACTTTTCGGCATCCCAGAATGACCCACCAACATGGCCAGGAACCCCAGACAGTGGTGGGTCTCAGAACCAGTCTCTATGGATGCCCAGTCTTGGGGATGCAGGAACTCGCATTTGGAAACAATTCTCCATTAAACCAAAGTGCTTAACCTCCCTGACTTTTGGGTTCCTTGCTGCAAAGTGGAAGTGCACTTCATAGCGATTCTGAGAGCCCAGTGGAGAAGTAGATACCAAGGCCTATGAGCAGAGCGTCATTCATAGCAACATCTGTATGCAGAGTGACATGATGACACAGCTCTGCATGTCTGTTTCCAACTCCATAGCCTCTGAAGGGACAGCTACAAAGGGATGTTAGTGTTTGGCCGAACCATCTCTCTTACCCAAAGCTCATTTGGATGGTTAATACTGATTATCAACTTCCTGGTGATTCTAGACTGAGTTCATTGAGGTTGGAGACCCCACCTTGAAGGCACCATGTCCAAGTAGCACAATGACATGCATTAAGGTCTTAAACTGAATAAAAAGGAAGGCAAGCTGAGTACCAGCATTCATCTCTCCCTGCTTCCTGACTGATCCTCCACCCCGATGGACTGAATCCCCTCGAACCAAAGGCAAAGAAATTCCACTCTCCCTCCCCTAAGTTGTCAGCTTTTCAGTCAAAGCAATGAGAAAAGAAACAGGCACACTCACAAAGCACAAACTGGTGTTAGGAATACCAGGCCCTGCCCTTTGATGACTTGCCATCGTGTTTTACTTGGCCCAGAGCTTGTTAAGTCATGGGATGGAGGAAAGGATGGAGAAGGGGTTTAGAATGCTCCGAGCTAGGAGAGTGCATATGTGGCTGGACTTACCAGCAGAGACATTTCCAAGGCTGGCAAGCTGGTGGCCTAGTGACTTCGAATATGTCATTTTCTTTCTGCCTCAGTGGTTCTAGTTATATAAAGATCGATGACAGGTCCTGCCTCACAGGTTAAATAAGGAGTAAATGGTGTTGTGCACACCTGGTAGATACTCCTTGGGGTGCAGGTCTACAGACTCAGCAATTTACTCTTCCTTCCAGCTGGGAGGTGTTGGGACCAAAGTATGGGGGAGCAGAGGCTCCTGCTCCTCTCCTCTCCCACACAGGAAGGAAGCTGGGGAGACAGTGCAATTAGAAGGGAGGGGCCAGGAAGACAAATGACACTTTCACTAACTAATCTGTGTGGCCAGAGCCCAAAATGGAGATGGCAGCACAGCAGAGCTCTCACTGAGCTGGAGCAGCTGAAGACCACAGGTGTGGAACCCACAATGGGCAGGGAGCGGGAAGGGCTACCAGCTCTGGTGGCCAGTGTGACCAGCTTCTCCACCACAGGCCAGATGTGACAGTTAGTAATGACTGTCAACTTGACAAGACCTAGAACCACTAGGAGATAAGCCTTCCGGGTATGTCTGTGAGGGAATATTGAGATTAGGGTAATTGAGGTGGAACACCCACCTTACCTATGGGTGGTGTCATTTCTTAGGCTGTGGTTTTGGACAGAGTATAAAACAGACAGCAAGCTGAACACTAGCATTCCCCTCCACTTCAGGATGAATGTGAGCAGCCAGCCTCCTGTTCCTTCCACCATGCCTAAGTCAGAATAAGTCCTTTCTTCCTTAAATGGCCGTGTGTGTGTGTGTGTGTGTGTGTGTGTGTGTGTGTGTGTGAACAATGAGAAAACTAACATATAGAACTGATACCAAGAAGCATGGCCGTTGAGTGGTTGGCAGTGCGTGGAAGAGTTGGCAGCTAAAATGCTGTAAATGGGGCTTCCTGGCTCCCTGCAGGGAGCTTGGGAGACCAGAAGGCTGAGAGGCTGATGGCTAGGAGGACTGGCTCCTGTGGTTTCAGAAGGGGACAAGGACTCTTTCAGGAACTAGGCTAGAGGCTGCTAGTGTGGTATTCTGGCAAAGAATCTGCC